ATGGAGTTTTGTGATTGCAGGGTCGAGTTTGTGTGCCCAATGTGGATGGTCTTCGAGAGTTGATTTTAGAGGAGGCCCATAGCTTTCGGTACTCTATTCATCCGGGCACCGCGAAGATGTATCAGGATTTGCGGCAGCATTATTGGTGAGGAGAATGAAGAAGGATATCGTTGCATATGTGGCTCGATATTTGAATTGTCAGCAGGTTAAATACGAGCATCAGAGGCCTCGTGGTTTGTTCCCAAAGATTGAGATTCTTGAGTGGAAGTGGGAGCGTATCACTATGGACTTCGTTGTTGGACTCCCACGGACTCAGAGGAAGTTCGATGCAGTGTGGGTAATTGTTGATAGGCTGACCAAGTCAGCACATTTCATTCCTATGGCAGTTTCCTATTCTTCCGAGAGGTTAGTTGAGATTTACATCCGGGAGATTGTTCGTCTTCATGTTGTGCCCGTGTCTATCATTTCGGATCGAGGTACGCAGTTTACCTCACATTTCTAGAAAGCAGTTCGGCGTGAGTTGGGCACACGGGTTGAGTTGAGCACAGCATTTCATCCTCAGATGGATGGGCAGTCTGAGCGGACTATTTAGATTTTGGAGGATATGCTCCGAGCTTGTGTCATTGACTTTGGAGGCTCGTGGGATCAGTTTTTGCCTTTAGCAGAGTTTGCCTACAACAACAGCTACCAGTCGAGTATCCAGATGGCTCGTTATGAGGCTTTATATGGTAGGCAGTGTCGGTCGCCGGTTGGATGGTTTGAGCCGGGAGAGGCTCGGTTGTTGGGTACGGATCTGGTTCAGGATGCCTTGGACAAGGTCAGGATTATTCAGGATAGGCTTCGTACAGCTCAGTCCAGGCAAAAGAGCTATGCTGACTGCAAGGTTCGAGATTTGGCTTTCATGGTCGGTGAGCGGGTATTGCTTCGAGTGTCGCCTATAAAAGACGTGATGAGATTTGGGAAGAAGGGCAAGCTTAGCCCTAGGTTCATTGGCCCGTTTGAGATTCTTGATCGAGTGGGAGAGGTGGCTTATAGACTTGCGTTGCCGCCGAGCTTATCAGTCGTGCATCCAGTGTTTTATGTGTGCATGCTTCGGAAATATCACGACGATCCATCCGACGTGTTAGATTTCAGCACTGTCCACTTGGACAAGGACTTGTCCTATGAGGAGGAGCCGGTAGCTATTCTAGATCGGCAGGTTCGTCAGTTGAGATCGAAGAGTTTTCCTTCTACTCGTGTTCAGTGGAGACGTCAGCCTGTTGAGGCATCGACTTGGGAGTCCGAGTCCGATATGCGGAGCCGTAATCCCCATCTTTTCCCCGACTCAGGTACTTCCTTCTTCTGTCCATTCAAGGACGAACGGTTGTTTTAGAGGTGGAGGATGTGATGACCCAAAAGGTCATCACTTGTTTTTAAATTAAACTCTGTGTTTCGAGGCCTTAAAACCCTCATTCAGCATCACATCGATTTGCGTGCGCAGTCCGGGCGCGTAGCTGGAAAGTCTATATGTGAAAATCAACATCTTTTAACATGATTTCAACTTAAAATCAATGATTTTCATGGGGAAATTGGGTGTTTTGGGTAAAACCTACGTTTTTCAAAAAATGGGGATTTGGACCTCAATTTGAGGTCCGATTTCAAAACAAATTATATGTTTGAGTTCGTGGGGAAATGGGTAATCGAGTTTTGGTTCGAACATCGGGTTTTGACCATGTGGGCCCGGGGACGATTTTTGACTTTTGGGTAAGACTTTGGAAAATTCATTTTCATGCATTAGAATTGATTCATTTAGCGTTTATTGATGTAATTAAGTAACTTGTGGCTAGATACGAGCAAATTGGTGGTGGAATCAAGGGGTAAAGCGATAATTGAGACATGAATTGTGTCCGTGGCATCGAGGTAAGTGTTTAATCTAACCTTAGCTTGAGGGATTAGGAGTCGAGTCGCATTTGCTATGTGGTAATTGTTGAGTACGACGTATAGGCATGGTGATGAGTATCTATACGTTGGTGTCTAGCATGCCCGTGAGTCTCTTAATGTGATTTTTATGACTTCGTCGTATTATTCATATCTTGGTGATGATTTTTATTTGTTGGGCAAGGATTGTGGAAGTAATTGTGATGTTTGATTATTGAGGAGCATTGGCTCAAGTTGTATAACGAATTATGAAAGTATGAGTGGTAATTGAAACCTTTGGAGCATTGGCTCGAGTTGTGAAGTGAATTGTGAAACAAAGGTGAAAGAAGAGGAAAGAACCATTATATTGACTCCCTTGCCAGGATATTATTGTTGTTGTTTTGAGGTTGTCCCTTGCCGGGACTTGTTGTTGAATTATTGTTCCCTTGTCGGGATTCTTATTGCAAATTTCATTCATTTCCTTGCCTTATTGTTTGTGATTGTTGTTTGGGTGAGGAAGAAAGTTAAAGCACGAAGGGTGATGCCGTGCATTGTTTTGGTAAGAGAGTGTTAAAGCACGAAGGGTGACTTCGTGCCGCACGATGTACCATTCCGTGCCTTTATATGAGGGATTATGTGAGGTAAAAGCACGAAGGGTGATGCCGTGCCAATTATACTGATTTTCATGGTGAGGACAAGAGTAAAAGCACGAAGGGTGATGCCGTGCACTTGTCCTTGATTTTCCTGATTTTACTGGTAATTGAGTTATGGTGCTCTTTTACGCTTACTTACTGATTTCCTGTTAATACTTGATGTTAATGTGATGTTATTTATTCCTTTGCCCAAATTGCTTTGTGATTGTTGCTTGGGTGAGGAAGAGTGTAAAGCACGAACGGTGATGTCGTGCATTATTTTGGAGAGAGAGTTTTAAAGCACGAAGGGTGATGCTGTGCATTATTTTGGTGAGAGAGTGTTAAAGCACGAAGGGTGATTCCATGCACTTGTTGTTGATTTTCCTGATTTTTATTGATAACTGAGTTATGGTTTCCCTACATTTAATTGTTGGATTTTTGTTGATACTTGTTGTACCCCGCAACATGATCCCCCTTCCTATCTTCATTTGAACTGTGGCTATCCTTATATTTAATTGTTGTTCTTCTGTTATTATTCGATGTTCCCGCAGCATGCTTCCCCCTCCCATCCTTAGCTGTACATTTCTGGTCGTGTTGCTCCGCCGTATATGATTTAACTGCACAGGTTTATTCTTGGTAGTCTGGTCCTAGCCTCGTCACTACTTCGCCGAGGTTAGGCTCTTACCAGCACATGGGGTCAGTTGTGCTGATACTACACTCTGCACTCTTTTGTGCAGATCCCAGTGTTGTAGATTCCGGACCGCATTGAGGTTGCTGCTTCTGGTCCATCAGGCGACCCGAGGTAGTCCTGCAGGCGTCCGCAGGCCTTGGCGTCTCCTTCTAGCTATTATTCCTGTTTCTTTCTTGTATCCCCAGAGACAGTATTGTATTATTTCTTTCAGACCTTTATTATTAGTAATCTTAGACAGTTTGTGAAGTTGTGACACCAATCTTGGGTATTGTTGTTATGGAATGGTATTAGCAGTATTATAAAACTTGAAATTAGGTCTTCCGCTTGTTAAATTTTGTTGATTATTAACCGTTGGATTATAACTGTTAACGGATTTAAAAATGGAAACAAGGCAAATAATTCAGTTGATTGGCTTGCCTAGCTTTCACTAGTAGGCGCCATCACGACTCCCGAGGGTGGAAAATCCGGATCGTGACAGTTGACCTGAAAAGAGACCAACTTTGGTCGCTAATTATCCAGAATTAAAAAATAGCGACCAACGTTGGTTGCTAATTTTAAATAAGATTTATTTATATTTTATAAAACATTTTAAATAATAATATAATTATTAAACGTTAGAACTGGATCCCAAATTAGCGACCAAAGTTGGTCGCTACTTGCTTCCCCTTTCATTATCGACCAACTTTGGTCGACAATTTTAAATATTATTTATTTATATTTTATAAAATATTTTAAATAATAATATAATTATTAAAACGTTATAACTGGGTCCCACATTAGCGATCAAAGTTGGTCGCTAATTTTAATATTTCTTTGACCAAGCAAGTCTGACCAGCCCTGTCAACATGTTGACCACTTTACCGACCAAAAAGCGACCAACCTTGGTCGGTAAATTATTTAAAATAATTATTTAATAATTTTCTCCACGTTAGCGACCAACGTTGGTCGCTTTTTTTGACCAACCAACTTTGGTTGCAAATTTTTGGTCGGTAATTTCCAAATTTTTAGTAGTGATAGTTTAACTTCTACCTATAGAAAGTTTAATAAAAAATAAATTACTCAATGGCTATGTAGTGGTAAATATGACTTGAAAAGTTCTTTACAATGAAGAGAGGATGACTTCAACGCTAGAACTCCAAATTATAGCAAATCAACAGCAGTTAATATTTGCTTGGCAGCGCAATTAGAAGATATATAAATTATGCCAATCTTACTCAAAAGGCTAAAAATAGATGAGTGAAAAAAGAACAATCTGAAGTTGCAGTACAAGTAAAAAGTATAATGAAAACAAAACATAAGTATGTAAAATCATTTGTTTTTCAGACGAACGGAAAAAGGAACACTTTAAAAGTTTAGTTTTCTGCCTTCGTGCCTTTAGGTCCAATAGTATATGCTTAAAAAAAGAGAAAAATTCATTTATAGCCACTCGGGCCAAACCTATTATTAAATCCGGCAATGAAATAGTGACTGAGCTCTGCACAGGTCGAGCTTCAATGGTGGAAGAGCTTAGCTCTCACGCCATGAAAATACAGAGAAGATCAGAGAAGAAGATAGAGAGAGAGGGGAATGAACATTCTAGAAAATTATTTTGTTCAATTCATACAAGTGAGCAATTGAGAGGAGCTCCTCCCACTATATACACGGATGTAATAACAAAGCCATCTAACTGACAACTATCACTATTCCTAACTAACCACTAAGCTAACTAACTAGCTAATGACATAGGCTAAGTAATGAAAAAATAGATATAATTAATCTTAACACCCTCCCCCCCCCCCCCCTCAAGTTGGAGATGTGGTAAACACAGCCAACTTGCCAAATGTGGCACTATGTTTGATTCCAGTTAAAGCTTTGGTCAGAATGTCGGCTAGTTGACTATCTGTCCTAATGTGATGAAGTGAAACAAGTCTTGCTTGTAATTGATCACGTACAAAATGACAGTCCACTTCTATGTACTTGGTTCTTTCGTGGAAGATTGGATTCTTGGCAATGTGAAGTGCATATTGGCTATCGCAGAACACTAAAATAGGCATCGAAAAAAAGACAGACGGTTCTTCAAACAGTCTGCTCAACCATACCAATTCCCGCACTACTTTCCTTAAGGCCCTGTACTCTGCTTCTGCAGAGGACAGTGATATAGTTTCCTGTTTCTTAGACTTCCCGCTGATAGGGCTATTGCCCTGAAGTACCAAATAACCTGTAATGGATCTCCTGGAATCTGGGCAGGCTGCCCAATCAGAGTCACAGTATGCTTTGACTGTGCAATCTGAATCCTTAGACATGAAGATTCTCAGAGTAGGATCATTTCTCAAGTACCTGAGCAGATGGAATGTTGCCTTCAAATAAGGTTCTATGGGCTCTTGCATGAACTGGCTCAAGTGTTGGACACTATATGCAATATCCAGCCTAGTATTGGTTAGAAAATTTAGTTTCCCCACCAGCTTTCTATAGTAAGTAGGATCTTGTAGGATGGTACCATCTTTGGCCTTTAGCTTTATGGTAGGATCTAAGGGAGAAGAACAAGGCTTGTAATCTAGGAAATTGTACTCTTTCAGCATGTCCAATACAAACTTTCTTTGAGAGATTATGACACCATCATCCTTGTACATCACTTCTAGTCCCAGAAAAATGATGCAGTTGGCCCAGATCTTCGATCCTAAACTGCTCATGCAAGAAGGCCTTCAATCATATGATCTCTTCCTGATCAGTCCCAGTAAGCAGCACATCATCTACATATAGTGCAACATATACTGAGGATTTTCCATTTTTCTTATAGAAAAGTGAGTAGTCATTGATGGAATGTGTATATCCTTTTGAACATAAGGCTTCAGTCAATTTTGCATACCACTGTCGACTGGCCTGTTTTAGGCCATAGAGATATTTGTTTAGCTTGCAAACCAGTGTTGGTTTATCCACAACAAGTCCAGGTGGAACTTGCATATACACTTCCTCATTAAGGTCCCCATGGACGAAGGCATTGTTTATATCTAGTTGAGATATACACCACCCTTTCTTCAATGTTGTAGATATCAGTGCTCTTACTGTTGTCATTTTCACTACTGGTGAGAATGTTTCTGTGTAGTCAATTCCTGCCTGCTGAGTATAGCCTTTGACAACCAACCTGGCTTTGAATCTTTCTATGCTACCATCAGCTTTATGCTTCACCTTGTAAACCCACTTGCACCCAATTGCTTGCTTCCCAGGTGGTAGAGGTGCTAAGTCCCAAGTGTGATTAGAGTATAGAGCTTCAAATTCTTGTGTCATTGCAGTTTGCCATGTAGGATCAATAGCTGCCTCCTCATATGATGATGGTTCCCTGTCATAACAAGCATTTCTCACAAAAACTTAATTGTCAGGAGTTAATAGATCAGAGGCAACATGGTGGTTTATGGAAAATAAAGCATTAAGAGAATTAGGATTTGGTTTAAGTTTAGGTAGAGAATGCACATAGTCTTGTGTTCAAGCCCAACTATGTCTTCTAAAAGACAAAGCGATCGTTGCAAATATAATCCAGTTTTAAATCCGGAGTCGAATCTTCGGGGAACTAACCTATCTATTACAACTCTTGGCAATGCTATTATCAACTCAAACAAATTCTAGATGCAAGATTTTTATCAATAAAGGTTGGGTTTTTGTTTAACTACTTCAGATGATATTAAAAATAATAATATGCTAAATCAAAGATAATTCAATGGTAAAAAGGTCTAGGGCATTGATTTCCCCAATTGCTAGCTTAGGTCTTAACTCTTTTTGCTATAATCTCGCCGTAATACCCTATGAGGACTATGAGCTATGGGTTATCGTAATTATCTCTCGATCAACTACGATAATTTACTAGAGCATTCTCTCGAACTACTCTAGCTGACAATATGTGCAGCTCCGAATTATCCCACCAAAGTTTCGTTATCTCTAACCCCACTTTTAAGTTCAAGTAATGAATCTCTTCAATTACCCAAAAGTGGTGTTGTTCAACAGCAGTCTAACTTAATATTCTTTCTCAAGCAATATAAGGCAATTAGACACGATTAATCAAGGGCCCATTCAATTAATCACCATACGAAACGTAGTTGAACAATCATATAATACCCGGCTCGATTATAACAAAGTTGAATCAAAACTTCATCCAACAATTGGTTCCATCAACCCTAGATCAATTGTTTAGCTACTCATAACAAAACACGATAAAACTATAAAGTTGTTCATAATGTGTAATTGCAAGAAATAAAAGGAGATAGAAAAACTCTAATGTTTGGTTGATCTTCTCACACTTGTTCTTTCCTCCAAAGTAGTCTAAAAACAAGCTTAAAACTTTCTTGGGCGAGCTTTTTGAGTTTATAAGGGTTTGGAACAAGTTTTCCTTGAGTTACACTTTGGTCCCAAAAGTCTAGAAAAATGCACAGCTCACCGCGACCGCGGTGAAAGCATAACATTCTGCCTTCGTTTTGTGGCCTGCCGCGATCCCACCGCGGTCGCGGTGGATTCAATTCCAGACCCTTTTTGCTTCTTTCCGCTCGAGTGCTTCTTGCTTGGATGCTTTCTTCACATTATCGACTCCAAAACACTCCATAGTTCCTCCTAACTTGGATTAGTCCCTGCAAAGCAAAAGAACACCGATTAGAGCATTTTGTTATCATTTAGCCTATAAAACAACGATAAAGCATGGTAGAATTAGGGTGTAAATATCGTCTATGTAGCCTATTATCATCTTGCAAATAACTAGGTGCTTTATGTGTCCTTGAGGATTGTCTCAGCTGCGTGGGTTCTACATGGGGTTGTTCAATGTGATTCTGTGGTGAAAATGGTATTGGAGAATTAGGCATCACAGAAGATGATGAGGAGTGATCATGTGCAGGTGACATAAGATTGGTTGTGCTGTCAGCATTCCCTTGATCATTCAAAGCTTCAGATGTTTGTATTGTTCACATAGAGGTTCAATAAAAGGAATTGAATGAGGAACACATGGTTGGGAAGATGCATCCATATTGGCTGCAAATGGAAAAATGGACTCATTGAAGACTACATCTCTGGAGACAGTGACCCTTCTAGTAGCTAGACTTAAAACTTTGTATCCCTTTGCGTTGAAAGGGTAGCCAACAAAAACATGTGGTGTTGTTCTGGGCTCAAACTTTTCCCTATGAGGTTTAGGTATAGTAGGGTAGCACAGGCAGCCAAAGCTCTTTAGGTGAGAGTATTTTGGCTTCTTTTTGTATAGTAGTTCATATGGAGTCTGGTTGTTAATAGGGGTAGAAGGGAGTCTGTTTATGATATAGGTGGCACAGAGTACACATTCACCCCAATATCTTAGTGGCAGTTTTGATTGGAAAAGGAGTGCTCTGGTAGTTTCAAGGAGATACTTGTGTTTTCTTTCCACTACACCATTCTGTTGTGGGGTGTAGGTACAAGTTCTTTGGTGGATGATACCCTTATATTGGAATAGGATGTTTGTTTCTGTATTGGTGAACTCTAATCCATTATCTGTTCTCATAGCTTTTACAGTTACTCCAAACTGATTTTCTACCAAACTAATGAATCCCTTAAGTACTTGGAGTACATTGCTTTTACTAGATAGAAGATGAGTCCAAGTGGACCTACTGAAATCATCCACAATGGTCATGAAATACTTGTATTTATCATGTGTGGGCACATGGTATGGTCCCCACAAATCGACATGTAAGAGTTCAAAAAATTTATAGCCCGGGTTGTACATAATCTGAAAATCACATCCCTTGTCACTTGGTCCAACAACCCATTAGAAAATAGCTCATGTTTGAAGTCCTTACCCAGTATAGCCCAGGTTGTACATAATTTAAAAATTAATTTTCACCAGTTATCCCACCCCTTATTTCTTCGTTCCCATTTTTTCTTCGTTCCCCTTTTTTCTTGGTTCTTCTTCTCCTTCCCATGTCATCCTTTGCACCACAAAATTTCTCTACTATTGTTATTCTCCTTCATTTCTTTTCCGGATTTCAATGATTAACTAAGGATTTGAAAAATAAAAGTCACCATTACAAGTGGTTCGAAGATTCGATTTCAGAAATTGAGTTTTTCGATTTGTTAGTTGTGTGGAATGGGTGTTGTCACAATTGATTGGAATCATCAAGATGAGTTCAAAACTTAAATTTCAAGTGATTTGAAGTAGATTTAGGCTATATTTGAGTTAAATTTCAGAAATTGAGTTTTCCGATTTGTTAGTTGTTTGGAATGGGTGTTGTCTCAATTGATTGGAATCGTCAAGATGAGTTCAAAACTTAAATTTCAAGTGATTTGGAGTAGCTTTAGGCTATATTTGAGTTAAACTTCAGAGGATGCCCAAGGAAGAAGAAGAACACGTGAAGCTTCATTGATAGGATTCATTTGTATAATAATGTATAATATTGTATAAATAGTACTCCCTCCGTTTCAAATTAAATGAGGTAGTTTGACTCGGCACGGAGTTTAAAGGAAAAAAGAAAGACTTTTGAAAATTGTGGTCTTAAAAGCTTAAGGGGTAAAGCTTTTGTGGGGCCATGACTTTTGTGTGGTTATAAAAGCGTCTCATTAAGGGTAAAATGGGTAAAGTGAGGAGTTTAAAGTTGAATTATTTCCAAATTTTGAAATGTGTCATTTATTTTGGAACAAACTAAAAAGGAAAGTATCTCATTTAATATGAATCAGAGGGAGTATATAATAGTGTATAAACACAACTTATACACTATTATATCCAAGGTTGATACATTATTTATAAGTATTTGGTGAATTTCTCGCATTTTCCTCTTTTTCTTCTTCTTCTTCTTCTTCTTCTTCTTCTTCTTCTTCTTCTTCTTCTTCTTCTTCTTCTTCTTCTTCTTCTTCTTCTCATTCTTCTTATACACCTATATACATAGTGTATCAAGAATATTTTCATTCTATCATTATACATCTTTATACACTTTTATGCAACTATATACATATTGTACCTCTTTGTATAAAAGTGTATAACATTGTATAAAAGTGTATAAGCATCGCTGACGAAATTTTTGTGCGATTTTCACTTGCAATCCTTGTATAAAACTAGTCCAAATCTTCAGCAAATAACTTCAAACTTTGTATACAACCTACTTAGACTATTTCTAATAAGTTAAAACAATACCCACTCCAAATTTCTCACAAAATCATAATCGAAATTTAACAAGATTAGCATTAAGGAGATGAGATTTTAGTTTCTCGCGTCTGTTTTTGCGTTTTGTAGTTGTGATAGATATTTATAAACCTGAAGATATACAAAAAAAAATTTAAAAAAAAACAAAGAAGTATTGGTTATGGAAGAAGGCACGAATGAGTGTTGACTGAATGGGTTTGTTTGCATATGATTCTTTTTCATTAATTAAAATAAATATTTATGGGTGAAAAATGTGGAGAGAGCTAGAATAGGGGTAGGTAGGAATAAATGAGGTTTTTATAATTAGAGGAAATGGGAAAAGAAAAGATCTTATTGATATTTGGCTACACATTTGCAAACTTGTAACTGGGCTAAAATAGTGCAAGGTCAACTTATGAAGTGCATTATTCTGTAATTTTGTCTTGCTTTTACTAGATAGAAGATGAGTCCAAGTGGACCTACTGAAATCATCCACAATGGTCATGAAATACT